ATAAGGCAAATGAAACAAAGCGTGTTTGTCCTCAGCAGTTTTTATCATCATGACTGAGTCAAAAAGCAAAATAGATCACATATTCGAAAAAAGCGTCAATTACTGCATTGAATCATATATGTTTTAGAAAAAACTGCTTTCGATCGAAAAGCGGCCCGTGGTCTCCTTCAGGCTTATTGTTCTAAATTTTTGCTCTAGTTGCCCAGCGATCAATTTTTTAAAGAAAAAAAAATATTCTTAAGAAGTGTAGTATTCGTTGCTGTTTCAGAATATACTATCTGTTTTGCTTTTTGATGGAGCTATTATAATAAAAACTGCTAAATATAAACACGTCTTTTTCTTTTGTTTTATGTTGCTATCAGACGGGAAAAAAGTGGAAGGTTCTCGACAATAAAACAAAATCTAAAACCACCTAATAGATACTTTTGTAGCTCATGACCTGGTCATTCTATTAAGAGAAGACACTTGCTTCTATTTTCTTGTACAAAAAACCTAAATAGACTTACAAGAATGCTCATAGATACACATACTGTGAATTTGATGGGCCTAATTATATAGGATAGGATTCTGAATTTTAGTAGCTCTACATATTATTCAATAAAATAATCCTACTTACTTTTTCATAATGATTCATAGTATAAGACTTTCAGAAAGTTTATAATATAAATGTAATCGAAAATTGATCATTTCTGTAGGAAAAGCGAATTTGTGGCTACACATATTATAGTTTAGTCATCTGATGTGTTTAACAATATTTACAGTTAAAAAATAATCGAATCGAAATAAAAAAAAAACATATTAACATAGCCAGCTTTTGTCGCTCTATCAAATCATATATACTAAATTAGAATGAAAAGAAAATTCACTTGAATTTTGCATTTCTGGCACTCTAATTAAAGTTCTGTATATAACAGAATACGAAGCGATTTCTTAGAAAAACAGTAGTTTTCGACTAATTATTCATTAATATTTACAAAAAAGTAAGTCTTTTTGTAACTAATTAATTAGTACATGACCTTGTAGTAGGGCCGATGAACTTTAATTTAGATATGATCTTCTAATAGGGTGGCCTTCTTTTCTGAGAGCGGATGTTTAGGACTTCCACTATTGTTACCAGTACCAGCATAAACAACAGCTAATTCTTTATGGGCAGTTCTGGATGAAAATCTATTTACAGAAGAGAAGCCATTTGTGTTATTTGGAACTTTGTTATCGAATTCTTTGCTATGCATTAACTTCTCTCGATAAACAGTTTTAATCGTTTGCTCGGCTGCATTACTAATATTAGATACTGTTACTTATTGTGATATATGTCGTTCTTTTAACTGTAAATGTAGACTAAAAAATAGTATTACATGCATCATAATACTCTTCAAAAATTTATCAACAATGTTTCGTTCTGTTTGATTATTTATAATTTTTTTATGGCTGAAGTCCATGATTGTTTCTTCTAGTGTAGATTGCAATGTTAACTAAAATGTCAAGTAAAAATTATGTATACATACATAAATGGAGCTTCTTGTCGTTTAATAGTATCGTTCAATGATGATAACGATAACTGAATAGTATTATTGATGGTAACAGTAGAACTATGGAACATATTTGACAATGAATTAATAATAAAGTCATCATTTAAAAAATCCATGCCTACGATTTCGTTTTATATTTGACAATTGACATAATTGATTACATAGTACCTTCAAATCAGCATAAATTTCATGTATTTCAATCAGTGTTTTCGAATGTTTGATTACAAAATATAGATTGAATCAATTGGTGAAAGCATTTTAGTAACGTAGTTAATATCTCTGTTTGAGTTTCGAAATGTTATTAGATGACATGAATCAATATTGCATAAAGCAAGATGAGTTGTGCAATCACGTCCAATATGATGGTTAAATAAGATTTTTGGTCTAGTCATATTGTTATACAATGTATTACTGCTACTTTTTCGGTTCCATTTTCAAGAATGTCGAGTGAAAAATGTGGTGAATAGAAAAAGAGGAAGAAGCTTATTAGTGCAGCTCTTTTACGGCTGACATGTATACGCCACATACTCCATGTAAAACACCAGAGAATTCAGTATAAATTGTTTCTATATGTAATGAAATGTACTTTTCCGTTTGGAACAAGTGAAGTGAAAGAATGAAAGAATTATTTGGGTATAAATAGAAGATCAATACCGACACACTCACAACGTTAATGGGACATTAAATATGAGTAGTAATTATCGTCTGGATGAAATTAAATTCTCATGAGCCAAATTTTCAATTCAACTTCTTGATGAGCAGTAAACTTTTCTCGAGTTTCAATGAGCATATCATTGAATTTTCATCTCAATGTTCTTGTATTTGTGAATTCTCTTTAAACAGATTTGTTATGAAAGTCTGCTAATAGAAATATTGCTTCACTTCGTATTTTTCAGATAAATCAATGATTTTCTTGCTGTAAGAACAAAAAAATCTTGCATAGTATTCCACGAAATCGATTAAATCAATGAAATCAAAATAAATGCTCTTTCAATCATACCTATTATGAATCTAGTGTCTTCGAAAAAAATTTTGGTATTAACTTCGTCATAATTAAAGCTTTGCTGAATAAAATATGTGAGCACATGCTTTTTTTCATTCTATACACTTTGATATGACATATCATTGGGTATTCTCACTCCACATGGACGCACAAACGTAACATAAGTATTGTTGGGGAAAAAACACATATTACACTTGTGCATTCTACGTACTATGAGTTATATCTACTAAAAACAAATCTTATCTTCAAACATTACCCATCGAGCAAGTTCATGGAATTTTCAATGATCTCGATGCAGAAACAATAGTTTTTTCAATATGCTCTGTATGCAAACGATTCTATTCCATTGCTAATACCTACAATCGCTATGAGATTAACCTCCGTTATACGTCGAAATCTGATCTGTCTATCATGACACGTATTCATTGATTCTAAAAATGTTATTTCACTCACGCTTTCGGATGCAATAGAGGTACACGATCGAATTCGATCATTACCTCTTTT